AAAATGTCACATTACTATAGAACCTATTTTTTGGTTAGATATTTTCCGAGTCTTATCTGCTTAGCTTATTGACTCCTACTAGGTTTTACTACTGGTTGCCTTGCATAGCCAATACGTGGTAGCTATTTTTTTTTTTTTAAGTTAGGAGAGTTTTATTGGAAATAAGGAGAGAAGAATAGTTCCTGGATTTCCAGGAGGGGTCCTGACTGGGGTGGCCACCAAGGCCTTTTGTCAGGGGTGATTTATAGCAAGGTTCCACCGAGGGTACAGCATGGGTCAGACTGCCATGAAGCCATAGGATCACAGGACAGCTGCTTAGCTAATGTTGAACCCATAGGGAAGTGGGTCACATAGCAAGGGCACAGGGAAAGAACAAAGACATTTGTGGAAGGGATGGGTCCAGATATGCTGGTCACTCACCTGGGCGACCAAGCCCCATCACCTGGACTCACTGGACCAGCCAGTGCAGTAATAATATGATCCCAAGTTTTCCCATAGCCAGGCACCTAGGCCTGGCTATTACGTCCTCATTTTGAGGTGTGTCTCCAGCCACCATTTTGATATCTTCATTTTTCACTGAACTTCTTGCGAGCCGAGTCCTTCTCTGACTGGACACTGATTTCTATTGAACGTAGCAGCCCATAATAATGTAAGAAGCTCCGACAGTGGGTCGAGCAAACTGGGTTTCAGTCCCGATGCTGGCATCTGTTAGTGCCATGGTCTCGCAAATCACTCAACACTGTTGGACTTCATTTTCTTTGTTGCAAATTGAGAAAAATTACTTAAGTGAGAACTTTTTCCTTTTTGTTTCATGTCAGTAGAAAGTCTGTCTGCATTTGGAGACAGAAATGAGACTGTTCATATACATTTCCGGGTCTTCCTTTGCTCTTTTTTTTTTTTTCTGGTACCGGGGATCAACTTGGGTCCCTGTGCTTGCATAGCAGGCAGCGGAACCACTGAGCTAAATCCCTGGCCCCCTTTGCTCATTCTTGAAACAGTCACTGGGTGTATCAATGGGCTGGCTGCAAACCACCGAGGCTTCGCATAGTTAACAGCTCATGGATTGTGAGACAGAAGACTCCATTAAATGCAGCAAGAAGTGTCATCAAGATGTCTGTGCTGTGACCAAAGCAGCCTCACAGTTCTCCCGAGCTCGACTCAGCTTCAGACAGCTTTCCTCTGACTAAGGTCCCTGACCTTCCTTTCTCAGAACATTCACTCTAGGAAACTTTTAGTCACGTTCCTTTCTCTTCCTGTTTGAGATGTAAATCTTCTTCCAAACACCTGCCAACTTCACAAACCACGAATATCTTTCTCAGGGACTTAAGAACCAACCCTTCCTTTAGAATGTAATCACAGGGAAGATGGAAATCCAGACCCCCAGTCTCTGTGGAAGGGAAGAGCCTGACCTCACTGAGTGACAGGCCACAAGCACAGATGGCCTAACCCTAATGTCCTTTGGTACTTGTCTGGTTGCCTTCCCCGGTGCCTGTGATTCCACCATCTTTGCTTTGGCTCAGTTGAGTTTAGTCTCTCTCCCATTCTGAAGCAGTCTTGAGTGAACTTTCTTGCCTATTTTACTTGTCTGGAACAATTTTCCTTTGACAGCTACTTGACATCTTTGAAGCCAGGTCATTGGTGACTGGAGGAAGCAAATTTTATCTGAGAGGCGATTAAGGAAGAACTTTTGAAAGGTGATCTTTGAGTTGCACTAATCAGACTGTGAAATACAGAATAATCCAAGCATCAAGTTTTCCCAGGACTGTCACAGAGGCATGGGAATGGCAGGCTTGGAAACTGCCTTGAGACAACCCGTGGACTATGAAAAAGCTGACTCTATTATTGTGAAATTTGTCTTTATCTTCTGTTCCACTTCCCAATTCTCACTTGAAGTTCTCATCTTAATTTAGCAATTATGCTCATTTAAACAAATGAATCTGCCTGTAGTCTCACCCACCCAGGAGACTGAGGCAGGAGGATAGAAAGTTCAAGGCCAGCCTGGGCAACTTAGAGAGATTTGGTCTCAAAATAAAAAGTCAAAAAGGGCTGGAGGTATAGCTCAGTCATAGGACATTTGACTACCATCCATGAGGCCTTGAGTACAATCCCAAGTAACAGAATAAAAAATCTGCAAAACTCAGTAATTAAACTTACGCTTACTGAGGAACTGCCATATGCCAGGGAAACAAATACAGGTCCCCTTGTTATACACAAAGCACGAATACTTTGTGTCCACACAATATACTTTCAGATCTGCAAAGTGGGTGTCAACAGCCTGACTTATAACCTTGGGCAAGTCACCTGGTCTCTCATGACTCAGTTTCTTCAACTGTAAAGCTATTTTCTTAGTCGTTATGAAGACTAAATAAGTTAATGCATGGAAAGCGTTTATAACAATGCCTGGCACACATTAATTGCTTAGTAATTTCGTATCACTTGAAATTTATTAAAACCATGTGTTATAGTTTAGGTCTAGAATATCCCCCAAAAGTTACCTGTGTAGAGGTGAAGGTTGGGGAAGCTGACTCAATCATACAGGGGGCTATACTCATCAGAACATTGATCCATTGATGAGTTCATAGCTAAACGTGCTGTCAGGAGGTGGGCCTGGTTGGAAGAGATGTGTCACCAGGGGTGTGCCTTTGGAGAGCATATCTGCCTTGCTACGTGGTAACTATTGTAAAAGTAGGGTACAGGCCTTTGTACCTCACACAGCCCTGAAGAATCCCAGAAACTCAAAGTAGTGCTGATCCTGTTGCTGATAGCATTAGACGAAGTGGGAATAAAGATATTTTGTTGGCAGAGATCATACCTCATTTACAGAAGAGCTGTGCGCCCTTTAAAATCCAATTTTGTATATAGTTTGAAACTACATCTTATATTCTAATTGTTCTGACATTTTCCTTCAGCACTTAAACTGTCATGGTGAATTTGGTGACCTAAAAGGATAAATATTTTCTCCATAATCTAAGTATTTGGTAGAGAGATGTGGCCACTTCAGCCACACCATCAAATTGAGCCAAGATGGAGCTTACTATCCTACGTGTCACAGGAGGAGTACTAGGTGCACAGCAGCAACAGCCCTGTAGTTTGTGTACCTTGAAGGTTATGACTTGCAATCCACTATGAGTGTTATAAATTACATTTTGGAAATTAACATGGTTAGGCCACAGAGGGCTGAATGTTTAGAGATAGATGACAGTAAGTCATCAGAAAGTGGGCAAATGGAACTTGCACCGTGGTAGTGTTGGAGGAAGTAAGTGTGGAAGACTGAGCTTGTGAAAAGGAGGGAAGTGAATTAAGTAATGAGTCAAACATCAACATGAGAGGAGGGCACAGCAGGCTTGAGTACTCCAAAGAGGCTATAAGAAGAGGCTCTCGGGGGAAATGAAATGACAAACTGGTAGTTGCTGATGCTTACATAGTACATACAAATGGTGATCAAAAGATACAGTGGATATTTAAATTAAAAAATTATTACAATAAAAGACATTGTGTGGATGATGGAATAAGTATTTAAAACAAGGAGGGAGTATTTTAAGTATTTAGAGAGGCATTAATGGCAAGATGTCTTTCACTAATGAATATTTTTAAGCATTCAGTGTATTTTTATCACATTTCACATATGCCCTGTGCAGGCTCAATTCTATGCTGTTTTAGATGTGTTAAGCATTCTTCACAATAACCCAGTGAAGTAAGTATGATTAACACTGCTATTGTACAGATTAAGAGAAAAAAAAACACAGAAAGTGTTAAAGTGAGTCAGGCTTGGTGTCACATACCTGTAATCCCAGCACTGTAGGAGGCTGAGGCAGGAAGATCGCAAGTTCCAACCAGCCTGGGCAATTTATCATAGTGAGACCCCAAGATTAAAGAAAAAAAACTTTTTGGTACCAGGGATTGAACTTAGGACCTTGTGCTTTCGAGGCAGGCTTGGTGCCACTGAGCTAAATCCCTGGCCCAAGAAATCTTTTTTAAAAAAAGCTTGGGATGCAGCTCAGTGTGAAGGCCTGGGTTTAAAAAAAGTGTTTAAGTGACTCACCCATGTCACACAGCTAACAACGAAGCCCAGCTGAGATTTGAACTTCCAATCCAAGTCCATGCTATTGATAATTATGCTCTGTTGCCTCTTTCATGCATGGGTAACAAAATAAGATGGAATGTTAAGAGGTTAGCCTTTTACTGTACAGGACAATGGACTGGCAGTTAGGTTAGTGTTCAGCATCAACACCTGAGTAATCTATTCAAGAGTGTCACAACAGAAAGGTGCTAAGTAAGAGAGACTGCACAAGTTCAGCCAGTGAACATCAGGACTGAAACAAAGAGAGGAAGTTACGGTGGATTAGAGAAACTACTTTAATAGCAAAGTGTAATCTAGGAGCTATGGCTTCATACTACAAGAAACATTTTTTTCAAAATTTTCCAAGTTCCATGCTGCAATTGAAAAGTATCTTAATGAAAAATGTGCAGATTTTGTGCAACTTTACCATAGTCCTAGATTAAATAGCATGTGAAATATTTCTTTGTCACCACAATACAAATGAATATACCACTGATTTTGGATAAGTTTAGTAATTTGTGAATTATTCCCTTCAATTTTTATCCCTTGAACAAAAGTAATATTGACTTTATAGGTATAGATTTAATGACTGCAGTTTTTAGGAAATGTTATTAAATGGCTGGAGATATTTTTAAGCCAGTGTAGATTTGGTTAGGAGATATTCTAAAATGCATTTGACAAATTGCCTTCACTTTTATTAACACAGTGGAAAGAATGGCAGGAAGATTTCTAGGCAATTTAAACACATATTTTTAAGCAGTTACCCTCTTTTCTTTTTCTTGATGTTCAAGATGCTGTATAATCTTACTCTAAAGAAAAACAAAAGCTAATGTTTTAGCATTCATCTATAGCAGAATATAATTGTGGTGAGGGAATAATTTTATTGTGAACATGGGCACTCATTCTCTCTTTTTTTTTTTCAGTGGTACCATAGATCAAACTCAGGACTTTGCACTCCCGAGGCAGGCACGGCACCACTGAGCTAAATCCCCGGCCCTATTGCGAACATTTAGAGGAAGAATTGCCAGTGACCCAAAAGATAAGACTTCTTCATGTGCTGTATCTAAGGTTTGATCCCTACAGTGTAAATAAGTCAAAGTAATCATTTGACTAGGTTAAACTATTTTTGTTTTCTGTCATCTTCCTTAACCAAACATACACATTTGTAGTTGTAGAACAAGCAGATATGCCAGCTCTTATGAAACAGTAAAAGCTGAATCAGTTGTGATGGTGCATTGGGCCTGGTCAGTATAAATTTGGAAGCACACCAACTTTGGCGGGTGGCTTCTCTGGAGTGTCATTGTACATTTCAGGTTCTTGGGAGATGGACTCTGTGCAGGAATTTTATTAGGGAGTGAAGCAAGGTCAGCAGGAAAGCAGTTGGGCTCTGATGTGGTCTCACCTGAGGCCTCAGCTAACCCACAGGGAGAGCTCTGAGGTAGGGAGAGGCCTCCAGCACTGTACTGAGTTCTAACAGTGGGGCCTGGCCTTTACAGTTCCATCCCATCCTGTCGTTGGGCACAGGCTGCTCCTGGAAACTGGCTTTCTATAGTCAAGGAACAATTCCTGTAGAAAGTGGACACTGAGGACAGTCAAGCAGCATCCTGTCCAGAAGTTGGAATAAATGCTTCAGTCTTGAAAAGGAAATGTGCGCAACACACAACAGTGTTCTCTGTAGTAAGTGGCCAAAATACTTTGCAATTTTAAGGGAGAAATGGAAATAATAAAAAATAGTATATATATTTTATTGTTGACCTTTAAATTATAGTGTTGTCTAAAAACTCCTTTTTTAAGAGAATTAAGAGAAATTTTGTTATTTAAGCCTTTTGCATAAAAAGGAAAGGAAGTAATATATCTAATTACATACTGCTTATCAAGAGACTATATATGTCTGAGCTCTGTCTTAAAACTTAACACATGCTCTATCATTTAATGTGTGCAATTTCCTTGCAGGAAAGGTACTATTGTCCCAATTCCACTGATAAGTAAACAAAATTAGAAAGGCTAAGGGACTTGTCCAAATCATACAGTTAATGGTATAGTCATGAATTTGCCCAAATCAAAGCTGGTTTTTTTGATTCTATCCTGTGCTATTCATTCTAGATCTTGGACATTAGCCAGAAATTTTCTCCTTCAGTGTATAACTTTTTGCCTCAGTTCTAACAATGTTTTCTTATCTAGCACTTTGACCTCAGAAACCTTAGAAATTTGGTATTAAACCATTTATCTCCTTGGACCCTTGTCAGAACCCTGTTGGATAAAAAAGAATATTTTTATCCCCAATTTAGCAGGACTGTAGTGCTGATGACAGTTATGTAGTACTGATGGCCCCAAGTTATGAAAAATGGGCCATTCTCTGATGGCTTCAGCCCTACACTTCTATTTTTAATAAATTAGATTGTAGGTAAAGGAAACCCTTGATGCATAGTATGGTAGGAGTCAGAAGAGAGCATAGATCTACTGATTACAAATCCCATGCTTGGTTTCCTCAATGAGATTAACATGGGAAAAAGAAAAACATGAACATATGCAAACATCATAAGTACAGAAACAGATCAACCTTTAAATGATCATGCATTATAAGTCTTTAATTTATGGTGAAGATATTCTGAAACTACTAGAAAGAAATGATTTAAGGGGCACTAGGAAAAATGTAAGCATATATGCTTTAAGTATGTAACTTAAATGAATTTTGAAATGAACCTCCTTTAAATTTACATACCTTCCTAAAGGCTTCTTATTTCATTAGAATGCCTGTGGTATGTGTCCCTTTTTCTGAGACTCTAGTTGACTGAACCCCCAAATGAATCATGTTACAAAGGATACAACACTTGCATTGCTCTGTGACAGCCCATTTCCTCTGGTGTGTTTCTGATGGCACAATTAAGGTTGACAAAGTTCTCTTGTTCCTTTGTTTATCTTAATAGGGCACTGCTTGTGTCAAATAATTTAAGAAATTTTAAGGCATTTCAGATTGTCATATTTTATCTTGTATAATTAAAAAATGCAATCAGGAGAGTTATAATATTCCATAACATATTCTTATATATAAAAAGTTCATGAAAATAACCTCAAGTATTTTATGTATTTTCTCAAGCAACTATTACTTTATTATCTTTGGTTCAGCTCAAATCTTAATTTAATGGAGGATTTTGAAAGCAGTTGGACAGAGCAGATAATTTCTGCGTGATTGATGCAGTGTCCCATATATATTTTATAAATACATTATAAGTTATTTGGGACTTTAGTATTAAAAACAGATGCCAGTATTTTTGTCTGTTGAAATAAAAAGGGGGATTTAGGTATATAGACACCAAGATTAATACAGCATTACTACACATGCTGTATGTATATTCAACTGCCGTAAGTCAGTCAATTTAAAAACACGTTGACAATTTATTTACATAAATCTAAAGGGCTATAAATTATATTATCACAATGTTATAAAGACAATTTATTTCTATTGTTCTGGGTATGAAAATGGTCACAGGATAACAGCAATACCATTGCATATTTATACATTCTTGTGGTATGACACAGACAATTTATAAAGATTTATTCATGAAAGCCAAATTAAGGCTTTCTTTGAGTTCTGTTTGACTACCTCAAATCAGAATCAAGTACTAAGATTAATATGTTGAGAATTAATATATAATGTATAATTATTTAACAGTTTCAGATTTTATTATTATCTTCAAATTCCATAGTAATGTATTTGAAGGAAGTTTTCCCTGTCATTCTAGTCAGTTGGCCCAAGTCTTTAAGGAGAATGCTCATGTCCTAAAACTTCAATAGAATCTAAACCTGAGTTTATAGCAAAAGCCACAATACTTCTACTTTAAGGACAAAGACCCCACATACACAGTCACGTGCATGCAGAAGCTGGAAGGTACTTGGGTCCCAGGAGAGGTACCTGGGTCCTTCTCAGTGGGAATGGTGGAGACGGGCACAGTGAATGAGGTGGGTCTGTGGCACTGGGGCTTGTGATTCTTGGGAATGTAGTGCAAGTTTCTCTGCATCTTCTAATTTTCAAAAGAAGACAAAAATAGAGGTGTTTTGGTGAAATTTCCTGAGTTTTAGAAAACTGGAGTGGGCCAAATAAATCCTGTATGTAGGCTACATGTGGCCCAAAGACCTCCCGTATGCATATTCCATCTAAGTCATTGAGAGACCAGAGTCCTGAGTCATCTTCCACTTTACATATAATGGATGCCAGTGTATTTTGAGTAAGAAACTATCTTAAAATCTTCAAAATAGGATCAAACCCAACTTTGGACAGGTTTAAGTTTTCTTCAAGTGTGAAAAATATCATGACTGTCCAGTTTTCTAGTTTAAGCATGTATCTATACTATTTAGCCCAAAATAGGGAGCTGTTAGAATCATGCTTCATTTTGCATGTTGTCTTTTATTATTGATTGGCCCAAATTGGATACCGAATTTCCCCTTTTCCATTTGTATCTTAGTATGAGATTTCCTGTCTTGATTAAAACCTTTATGGTCAGTTTTTATCTGATCACTTGTCTGTCTGATGTCCTTGCTATATTTTTATAACATTTTAAACAGAAAATGTAAGTGCTATTTGTGGAACACAAGCTGTTCTACTGTGAAGGGTCTCTAGTGATTTCTCAAGTTGTTTTCACATTCAGCTGATACTAACTTCTAGAACAGAAGTCTGGGAACTACGAAGGAATGTTAGACCACTGAACACAGGTTTTCTTCCTTTCCAAGTCTGTCTTTAGGGGCAGAGTGAAAAAATGAATGAGAATGGAAAATAGATGAGCATAGCTGAGCACGGGGCTAATTTTATTGATCTCAATCAGGCTCAATTCAGCTTGAAGACAATATAATAATCTATAAAAAATGGAATACTAACAAGAAGCCAAACTACTACTACTTTTTCTTAAAAGCTCAATGTGTTATAGTAATCAGGAGCTCATAAATTGCTCTTACTAGCAGTTTAGAAAAAGACACTGTGTGAAACATACTTAGAGTTGGAAACTGTAAAAAGATTCTTTTTCCCTGTTGCTCCTGAGGTATTTTTTGTATGTGTTGAGTTTCATTTTTGGTTGTGCCATGGAACACATAGGGATTTTGTGCTGCTTCTTGAACATGTGGTAGACAAGGAGGGTTCAAGATGCAATTGAGTTATTTTAAATACCAAGAAGCCAAATGTAAACAACACTTTGTAAGATTGTCTCCTCATTGTGAATGTGAAGACAGTGAGTCCTCACATTTCCCTCCTCATTATGCTGAGTTACCTGGTAAGAATTACTGAGTGGTAGATGAAAATGAGGATAGAGAGGAGCAAAAAAAATACTCCAGTTTCTTCCAACCCAAGCCTTTCTCTCTTCCCTCACCAGGAAACTTTCAGTCCCTTTCTTTCATCAGCAAGCAATACTAGAAATCTCTAGCCAAAACACCATTGAGAACTGTTAACACCTCAAAGCAAACAAAAGTAAAACGAAATATTTACAGCAGCCATGAAAATCACTTAGAAAGTCAATCTGACCTTATTAGCTCTGTCAGTGTCTGTAGTCTCCTCAATATTTACTATTACTTTGCTCTACACATATAAAAAAGCATTTCACTAACCCATTTTGTTACTTCTACTAAAAGTCCATGGAAAACTTAAAGAAATTTGTACTACCTCATCACCTGGATCTCAACAAATTTATAAGGCACCTCCTGATGGTGGGTAATACCTGTTTATTAAGCTGATTTTCAGGCTCCTTACATGCAAACTTTCATAATTAGCTTTATACCTTAGAATTTAAGCTTAAACAAGGAGTAGACATTGAATCAAGTGGTCATGGACTAAGAGGAAAGAAAAATGTTTTTTAATGAATTTCTGATGCTCGACGCCCCCCCCACCACACCTTGCTTTCTATTTCAAGAGACTGCTTTATGGTAAGAAAGGACATACTTAAACTCTCCAGTGCCAGAAACTTTTATTTTATGTCTTGGCTAGCCAGTAAAGATAATCAGCACCTTGTCTCCCCTAAAACTGACAGAGTACATTTTTAAAGTGTTGAAAGAGAAGTATACAGAGCTTACAGGTTGTACAGTTGCAATTCCCTGGCCTTGGCAAAGATTTTGAAACTTAAGTTGTTTTCAGTTGTCAGGGTAAAGCACTATGGTCAATTAAATGAATCAGCTACTTTAATCATTGGTATTTTCTAGCTAATATATAAATATCAGAGGTGCATACCCTGAAATATTTTTAAAAATCAATATTATTCTTAGCAGTGTTCAATTTTTTTCTGGTATTATGTTACTTTTACCAAAGGAACCAATTTGTTTCCCACTTTGGTGAGTCTGTCAGCTGTTATAGTGTATTAAAAAGGCAAACTTATTTAAAGGCTCGGGTTTAATCCTTTGGAAATAAACCCAATCCCAGATTTTAAGTGAATACTGCATAAATTCAAGACAAATGTGGTGAATCTTCACCTTATTTTGACTTTTATTTGGAAAACGATATGATTTTCTATACTCTTGGCCACAGTTTAGAACTGTGGCTCCTCTGATGTTTCCTCAAAAGAGCAGTGAGACCCTTTGCCTCTCAGGTTTGTAGGAAACTCCGTTGTCTTCAGGAAGGCCCCCACCATGTGAAATCCACCCCTAGCTGCAGACAAGCAGGTCTGTGCACGCCCTACCGAGGTCGCGAGTCATGCAAAAGA